AAACATGAGAACTCATTCTCATGTCAGCTGGAAAAGGCCAAACATACCATCAAATTTGGTCCAAGGAGATACATAACAGGGCAACAATGATGCCTAGACAACAAAAGCCTTGTTCTGTGACAGACACTAAATACACACAAAGGAGAAGCGGAGGCTGGGCGCTGGACGGGGGAGGGGGGGAGGGCGGCACAGAGCACAGAGACAGCCCGGACGATGGCTCCTACCTGTCAAAACTATAAATATTCACCTTTCCCCTCTTTCCTCCCCCCCCCTTTTTTTTCTCTTCCTCTTTTCTCCTTCCTCCTTGCCTCTTCCCCACCCCTCCTCGGTCCCCTCCCTGTAGCATCCCAGACCCCTACCTTACACTAACAGCCCCCAGGTGCAACGGGAGAGACAGCCAGACATGTCGCCCTCACGGCTTGGCCATGGGAGATCCAGATTGTAGCCATTCTCCGTCAAATCGGATCCTATCTAAAGATGTTATCCTGACAGTGCGATAGTGCACTGATGTAAGGTGCCATTTTAATATATGTACAAGGCTTTCTATTAATCAGCCTTAATGTGCAGCTCCCGAGCTGACAGAGTGTGATGAAAGTAGCCACACTCTGTCAAACCCGATTCCATAGAAGCATGTAATTATCATAGGCGTGCGCAGCCTATTGTATAATGGTGTGCACCCTAAAGCAGAAACACACACGCCGCATATATATATATATATATATATACACATACATACACACACACACATACTTCTGTGTGTGTGAGGGTGCTGTATGAAGGCGCTGTGTGTGTGCGGGCACTGTGTGTGTGGGCGCTCTGTTTGTGTGCAGGCGCTGTGTGTGTGAAGGAGCTGTGTGTGTGTGTGTGTGTGTGTAAGGGCGCTGTGTGTGTGCTATGTGTGTGTTTGTGTAAGGGTGCTGTTAGTTTGTGTGTGTGGGTGCTGTATGTGTAAGGGTGCTCTTAGTGTGTGCTTTTTGTGTGTGTGGGTGAGGGTGCTGTGTGTGTGAGGGTGCTGTTAGTGTGTGCTGTGTGTGTGTGCAAGGGTGCTCTGTGTGTAAGGGTGCTGTTAGTGTGTGTATGTGTAAGGGTGCTGTTAGTGTGTGCTGTGTGTGTGTAAGGGTGCTGTGTGTGTGTGTGTAGGTGCTGTGTGTGAAGGTGCTGTGTGTGTGTGTGTGTGCAGGCACTGTGTGTGTCCGGGCGCTGTGTGTGTGGGCGCTCTGTGTGTGTGCAGGCACTGTGTTTGTGAAGGCGCTGTGTGTGTGTGTGAAGGTGCTGTGTGTGTGTAAGGGCGCTGTGTGTGTAAGGGTGCTGTTAGTGTGTGCTGTGTGTGTTTGTGTAAGGGTGCTGTTAGTTTGTGTGTGTGAGGGTGCTGTATGTGTAAGGGTACTCTTAGTGTGTGCTTTTTGTGTGTGTGGGTGAGGGTGCTGTGTGTGTAAGGGTGCTGTTAGTGTGTGCTGTGTGTGTGTAAGGGTGCTCTGTGTGTAAGGGTGCTTTAGTGTGTGTATGTGTAAGGGTGCTGTGTGTGTAAGAGTGCTGTTAGTGTGTGCTGTGTGTGTGTAAGGATGCTGTTAGTGTGTGTATGTGTAAGGGTGCTGTGTGTGTAAGGGTGCTGTTAGTGTGTGTATGTGTAAGCAGTACGAAAGTGTAGTAATCTGAGGGATTTTTCCCTCGATCAGCACATACAGCTAGATCAGTTCTAAGCTTGCCGATCGCATTGCTTGCCCAGTAACTCTTTGACAGCTTGCGTTGCACTGATCTCTAAGCAACACAGTGGAACGTGGTGCCTAGCAACTTCGGTTAGACACTCAGATCGGTGTTGCCACGTGCACCCTGAACGCCGACCACATCCCACTCGCACATGGAGTAGGTGAGTACTTTTATGTTTAGCTATATAAATATGTAATATGTGTACTTGTGTGTTTTATTGCCATCCTGATGAAAGCCCATGTATTGGGGCTGAAACATCGATATTTTTTAATGTCATAAATTAAAAGTTGTGGGGCTAGAGTTTACCCTCGCGAGATCTGAGTGTTGCTGCGGTAACCGGCTGGCAAGAGCTCCCCGGGTCCTCTCCTGCCTCCCTTACTTCCTGTGGGTCGATGAGGGATATCTTTGATCTCTCTCACCTGCCCATGGAGGGAGGCACATAGCACATGCCGCGGGGATTAGGGTGTGCCTAGGCACACCCGGCACACCCCATGCGCACACCTATGGTAATTCTGGAAGTGCGGCAGTGCATTGATAATGGGTACTGTCTCAACCTATGTAAAGTTTTTTGTTAAGCAGTACGAAAGTGTAGTAATCTGAGGGATTTTTCCCTCGATCAGCACATACAGCTAGATCAGTTCTAAGCTTGCCGATCGCATTGCTTGCCCAGTAACTCTTTGACAGCTTGCGTTGCACTGATCTCTTAGCAACACAGTGGAACGCGGTGCCTAGCAACTTCGGTTAGACACTCAGATCGGTGTTGCCACGTGCACCCTGAACGCCGGCCACGTCCCTCTCACACATGGAGTCGGTGAGTACTTTTATGTTTAGCTATATAAATATGTAATATGTGTACTTGTGTGTTTTATTGCCATCCTGATGAAAGCCCATGTATTGGGGCTGAAACATCGATATTTTTTTAATATCAGAAATTAAAATTTATATTTAATTATTACTTATAATTTTTTTTTTTTACAATTTGGCATAGATTGATGGTAAAAAGATTGCATGAAAAGAGTCAAAATACCCCAAGTTTAATACTTTAGGTTGTCTTCTTTAAAAAATATATACATGTAAAGGGTTATTCAGGGATTCCTGACACATATCAATGTTACAATGTAACTTTTGTTAATTTTGAAAACAAATGGTTTGGAACTAGCAAAGTGCTATTTGTACTTATTGCCCTATAACTTTCTCAAAAAAGAACATGTTAACATTCGGTATTTCTAACTCAGGACAAAATTTAGAAACTATTTAGCATGGGTGTTTTTTAGCGGTTGTAGATGCGTAACAGATTTTGGGGGCCAAAGTTCGAAAAGGTGTGGGTTTTTTTACATTTTTTTCATCATATTTATAATTTTTTTTATAGTAAATTATATGATGAAAATAATGGTATCTTTAGAAAGACCATTTAATGGAGAGAAAATGGTATATAATGTGTGGGTACAGTAAATGAGTAAGAGGAAAATTACAGCTAAACACAAACACTGCAGAAATGTAAAAAGAGCCCTGGACCTTAACGGTAAGAAAATTGAAAAACGGTCTGGTCACTAAGGGGTTAAACATCTGTATAGACTCTGATATAATCCCCTCTTCAGGCGATTCCACATCTTTATTATTCTTACTGTAAAAAAAACCTTTCCTTTGCCTAAATCTACTTTATTCCAATCTAAACAATGGGTAGAAACTAGTGTACTGTTGGCACTATAATTACTAGTAACAGTAGTTAGAGTGCTTGGAATGTTCTTTCAGTGATGCAGGTATTTGACATGTTCCAGAAGAATAGATTTCAAAGGAGCTGCATTTAGGAACTTGTGGTTTGTGAAGTTTAAAAGCTAGACATTGAAATGATAATGATGACAGATGATCAGTTGGTGTTGGGGTCAACTTTTCTTCTCATATAATATTACACTGCTGGGCCCAAAGTTCTTTGAACCTCACTTTTGGACACGAGTGCTCAGGCAGCAGTCTTTCAACGAGAGACACAAACATATTGCTGCAAATCAAACTGCTACTATTTATTCAGGGTGCAACAAGCATATTTATATATTTTAAAAAAAAAGCTTAATTGTGTGACAAGATTACAGTACATAGAACATATGCACAGGATATGTGCTTATCTCAGCAACATGAATACGGATACTCCTCACTTACCGATCGGGTTCCATTCTTACTATCCAGTCGTAAAACAAATTAGTCGGTAAGTGAGGATGCACTACAGAGCATGGGCACCAGTTCAGGTCAATGTTCAGGGAAATTTCCCTGAACATACATTAGAGGGATTCCCTCCTCTGGAGCGTATGTCTATGTGCTAAATTTCCCCAAACATAGATAAGCACAGCAGAGCAGGGAATCCCTTAAATCTATGTTTGGGGAATGTTCCCCGAACATAGATTAGATGGATTCCCTGCTCTGGTGCGTTTTTCTGGGATTAGGGTAAATTTCCCTGAACATAGACAAATGCACCAGAGCAGGAAATCCCTTTAATCTATCTAATTCCCCAAACATAGACCAGCTCTCTAATATGGGGAATTCCTTGAATCCCCATGCTAGAGAGTTGGTCGTAAGTGCGAGCTGTCGTAAAACAGGCTGTATGTAGCGCGAGGCGAACAAGGCATTTCCCTTTGGCGGCACTTTCCAGGGTCGGTAAAAACCGCCACCCCCAAATGCTAATGCCTTGTTAGCCTCGTTTTATGGGGGCCCAAGAGCTGGCCACCTGGCCACCTTTGGGCCCCCTCCGGGCAGGCAGCAAGGGAACGCTTCCCCCCTGAGTTTTTCCTGCTCAGCTCCCTTGCGTAACACACAGTGGTGCCGGGAGCTAGAATATGATGTCAGTCCAGCTCCCTTTGCGGCACGCAAGGGAGCTGAGCAGGAAGATCACAGCACTTATTTGGCCACCCGCCTGCTTGCCTACCTGGAAGCCTGCCAGCCCACATGCCCAGTAGCAGCCCCACTGGACCCAAGGTAAATAATCCACCCAGCTCTCCCAAAAGTAGAGAGGCTGGGTGGATTTAAATTAAAAAATAATAATAATAATTGTGAGTGTTGGGGGAAAATGTGTGTGTGTTTGTTTGTCAGTGAATGTGTTTTTGTTTGTCAGTGAATGTGTGTTTGTGTCTGTCAGTGAGTGTGTGTGTATGTCTGTCAGTGAATGTGTGTGTGTGTGTGTGTCAATGAGTGTGTGTGTCTTTCAATGAGTGTGTGTCTGTCAGTGAGTGTGTGTGTGTGTCTGTCTGTCAGTGAATATGTACGTGTGTGTTTGTTTATCTGTCAGTGTGTCTGTCAGTTAATGTGTGTGTCTGTCTATCAGTGAGAGAGTGTGTGTGTATCTGTCAGTGAAAGTGTGTCTAAATAATTGTGTGTGTGTGTCTGTCAGTTCGTGTGTGCGTCTGTCAGTGCTTGTGTGTATCTGTCAGTGCGTGTATGCGCCTGTCAGTGTGTGTCTGAGTGATTGTATGTGTCGGTCAGAATGTGTCATATCAGTGAGTGTGTATATGTGTGTATGTCAGTGTATTCAAGAGTGTGTGCTTGTCCGTGAGTGTGTCAGTATGTGTCTGCCAGTCAAAATGCTTGTTATGTAGCGGGAAGGGGTTGGTAAAATTAAATTAGGGGGTGCTCAAGTTCGGTCATGCCTAGGGCAGCACCAATCCAAAATACACCACTGACTACAATAGGGATAGGATAAAGTGTTAATTATGACTGATAGGGCCAGCAGAGTGGTGCTTTCTGTGCCCTTTTCCATTAGTTAGCTCACAAATAACCATAGGATGAAGTACAACTTAAAATAAGGTAAAGGGGAAAAGATAAGCGCTATCATTATATACCGGTCTGCACCATGCCCCTAAGAGTAAACTCAGAGGAGGAAAAATCCACTCATCAGCTGTGTTGAAAACCTTCAGTGATCATGGTTCTGTGTGGGGAAACCTGCAGGTGACCATGGTTTCCCAGGCAGGCCACACTTCAATGCATTTAAGGTGGACATGGGGTGTCCATAGTGGAAGCAGTTGTACCATAATTTATAATGGAGTGGTAGGCTTGGGACTGTGGCTGTATTCCAGTATACATGGAGCTATGGAACTTTTTAAGGGAAGGGGTCTGCATTCAGTATGTGGTCAAAGAATTCAAATATATTTCATTCATCTTTACAAGTGGTTTCCAACATTTTTTTGAAAAACAATTGAATCTAGACTGAAGGTAAAGCCATTCTTTACTAAATCCTACACCTGTCCCTGGATCTACTTACACTTCCCCTCTCTCCAGCTATCTCTGCAAAAAAGGAACAAAAATAATGGTTACAAAATACTTTAGCATAGTTTAGAAAAAATAATAAAATAAATATTTTAAAAAGCAGAAGAAACCACAGTATGTGCTCCATAGGTAAGATTCCATAAATTGGATGATTTTAGCAAGATGGCTGACAGCAAGTCAATATCCACATGTTATCAGCACTCTCTTTGCTGCTGGACTTTCACCTCAAAGCACCATGCATTACTCCATGCAGATGGCACAAACACTCCAGGATGATCACTGCAACCTACACAGACAGAAACATCAGTACTACAAAAACTATTTCAAAAAGAATATGTTTTTCATCATTAATTAACAAATTACCAAGGCCAAAAGTCCAATCCAAATCCCAATTTAAACCCCTAGATGGTGTATCATGGATGTCTTCCAGCTTTGTTTGCATTTCATGCAATTTGTCCATTACAACATTTTACATTGTCTCTTATTATCATATAATCTCCATGAGTGATGGCATGCAATGGTTGGTTCTCTCTTGTACAGCCAGGGACGTTTTAGCCGCGAGGCAAACAAGGCATTTGCCTTGGGCGGCATTTTTCAGGGGGCGGCAAAAAAACGCCGCCCCCCAAATGCCCTGGGCAAATGCCTTGTTAGCCTCGCGGCTAACAGACATGCTGGGCTGGGCGGGCGGCTGGCGGCTGGCGAGGGAGCTCTTCCTCTGAGCGGTCTGCTCATCTCCCTCGCGCGCTGCAGAGTGAGGCTGGGAGCCGGAAGATGACGCCCGCCCAGCCCAGCAGCCACTGGACCACAAGGGAGGTAATGAACCCTTCCCCAGCACTCCCAAAGGTAAGGAGGTGGGGGGGGGGTGAATAAAAAAAAATGTGTTAATGTGAGTGAGTGAGTGTGTGTCTGTTAATGTGTGTGTGTTTTGTTAGTGTGTGTGTCTGACTGTGTGAGTGTGTGTGTCTGCTAGTGAGTGAATGTGTGTCTGTTAGTGTGTGTCTGACTGTGTGTGTCTGTTAGTGTGAATGTGTGTGTCAGTGAGTGTGTGTCTGTTAGTGAGTGTGAGTGTGTCTGTTAGTGTGTGTGTGTGTCTGTTAGCGAGTGTATGTGTATCTGTCAGTGAATGTGTGTGTGTGTGTGTATTTAGAAGGCGGGGCGGGGGGAAGGGTCGGGGGGCGCCTGAGTTTTGTCCTGCCTAGGGCAGCACAAAACCAGGATACATCACTGTGTACAGCTCTTGACCTGTTTTGAAACTACTAAGGCTTTTGTTAGTGACATGCAATTTTTTTTCTCTCTTCACAAAAAAAAAAAAATCTCAGTATCTAAACCTTTTAAAGATAGAAGAATTCCACTCTCTTTACTTTTCCTTTCATTTCATACACACAGGACAGAAAACAAAAATACACAGTAGACACAAAGAAGGGATATCCTGCAGAGATGGCGATACAAAATACAAATTCATAGATATGCAAATAAACCACAATATCATAACATAACAATCTTTAAAATAATTTAAGCTTATTATCACATTATTAACTAAAACTCAGACTGTATCCAAAGTATCAGGGAAACCATTAAAAACTACACTACACATCACCATGGAGAAGCTTACTCTATTTCATAATCATTATAGGATGACCAAATAGTGTCAGAGCCTGCATTGTTTATGGATTACTGGTGCAGGACTCCAGTATACTGCTTAAAAAAAAGACTTTGTTACCCCCCTCTCTCCTCTACCCTGTTCAATGTATTTCTATAGGAGCGCTCTCTCCTCTTGAATAGTAGCAGTATCCCTCAAAGACAAAACAACCACGATGCCGCAAGTGGGCCCTAGCCTGGATCGTCTGGAACACCTACCTAGCATCATCTCCAACTTCCACCCGGTCATTTTAAAACTTGTTTTACTTTGTTCTACAAGAACTTAAGAGTGCTATTTGGAGAGGAGGTAGGAAAAGACATAACAATCGCTACCCGAGCGTCAGGGGGAGCCCTGATTTACAAGACCACAGGTGCCCTCATTCAAAGACCAACATTTAGCCAAAACCAGTCTGGAGATGTGACCAATGCCTGGTCAAAACTTTATTAAATAATCCTTCGGGCTTGGTACCGCTGATCCGGTTCATGATGTGTGGGGATTTTTGTAATTAAAAAAACACTATAGGGTCAGGAACACAAACATGTATTCCGGCCCATATAGTGTTAAAAACACAATCTAGCCTCCCTGGCTCCCCTAAATATAGTAAAATCTTACTTTTCTTATAGTCTGCTGCTGCATGCAAATTTTATTCACATTACCATTTAAACTCAAACAGACAATGGTCATTAACACATAACACATCACCAGGGCCGGACTGGGGATACAAAGCAGCCCTGGAAAAAAAATTTGTGCCAGCCCCATAAGTCACTGCGCCATATATTGTCGCGTGTAATATGTAAGGCTATGTCTTGCCAGGACAGATGATTGAGTTATATATATATATATATACATATATATATATATATATATATATATATATATTGCTTTTTCTATTATAAAATATTGGTCCTTTCAGGGTAAAACGTTTAATTATACAGTAAGCATACTCACATGCAGACACAGGCAATTTCACTGACATTTCAATGACACACACAAGCTCATTGATACACAGCCTCATAGACAAACAATCTTACTGATATACATCAGCTCATTGACATAAAAACACAAGCTCACTCACTAGCAGGCACACGCATGCAAGCAAGCTCACTCACTAGCAGACGCACACACACAGCTTAATCAAAGTGACACTGCTAGTGACAGTCACTAAGACGGTCACTAGAGGTGCTTCCTGTGTTAGTGCACCTACATTCAGGGCCCCCAAACTCTGTAGGTGCTGAACGTTCCCCATAGAGATACATTGATTCAATGCATCTCTATGAGGAGATGCTGATTGGAGTGGCGTTTTGCAGCCAATCCTATGGCAAAGCATTGGATTGGCTGAGATCATCAAGCTTGATGATCTCAGCTATAGAGGCAGGGCCAGTCGAGGGGAGACCAGCACGCTGCGTGGGGAAAAAAATAGGTGAGCAAAAACAATATTTTTAAACACACATTTACACCATGACAGACACAGAAACACACATATACCATGACAGACACACACACACACCATGACAGACCATGACACAGACAGACACACACCATGACGGACAGCCGCCCCCCTCCCCTTATGACGGACAGACAGAAACACACACCCCATGACGGACAGACACACACACACCCCATGAATGACAGACAGACACACACACACCCCATGATGGACAGACAGACACACACACACCCCATGAAGGACAGACAGACACACGCACACAACCCATGACGGACAGACAGACAGACACACACACACCCCATGATGGACAGACAGACACACACACACACCCCATGATGGACAGACACACACACACCCCATGACGGACAGACAGACACACATACCCCCCATGACGGACAGAGACACACACACCCCATGACGGACAGACACACACACACACCATGACGGACAGACAGACAGATACACACACACACCATACAGACATACACCATGACACGGACAGACAGACACACACACACACCATACATACAGACAGACACCATGACACAGACAGACAGACACACACACACCAGACAGACAGACACAGACAGACAGACAGACACACACCAGACAGACAGACATGATAACACAGACAGACAGACACATTACTAATACCTGCCAGGGGGAGGTCTTCTGGGGGCCGCTGGGGGACTTTTACCGCCGGGGAGGTCTTCTGGCGGCCGCTGGGGGACTTGTCCTGGCGGCCGCTGGGGGAGCTGCGCCGGCTCTGCTGTCCCGCCCTCGCGCGCTGCTGAATGAGACCGGCGCCGGAATATGACGTCATATTTGGCGCCGGTCTCATTCAGCTACGCGCTGGGAAGCAGAGCCAGCGCAGCTCCCCCAGCGGCCGCCAGGACAAGTCCCCCAGCGGCCGCCAGGACAAGTCCCCCAGCGGCCGCCAGAAGACCTCCCCAGCGGCCGACAGCAGACTCAGGTGTCTGCCCGGCCCCAGGGAGAAATTTCCCGGTATCCCGGTGGGCCAGTCCGGCCCTGCACATCACCAATTCATTAGAAAACATAGCATTCATACTCAAAAATCATTGCAATATGACTCATGTTGTCATTACACAATACAGAAAACAAAAGACGTAGTAAATACACAAAATGCATACCCATCAGAATTGGTAATATAAAAAACACAACAATGATAGTGCAAATAAA